GTTCTGCCAAGTCTGGGCATCCTCTTCAGTCCATGCAGAACATCTCCAAGCCGAGCTCTGCCCATGTCCTTGGCTGCCCAGATCTCCCTGTGCCTACAGAACCCCTCCCCAACTGCTGCTGGTACAACCCCAGAAAGTTCAGCCTGGTTTTCCCAAGGCCTGATGCAGAAAGATTCCATGGATGGTGGTTTTATCAGCCATGTGCAATTGCTGGCTTTTGGCTGCTGGAAACCAGGCCCAGCACAACCTCATTTCAAGCCCTCACAGGCCCCAGGTGTGTTTTGCATACCCTTCATCCCACCTTGCAGGGCTTTATCCCCCATGGGCTGAGCAGGAGCTTCACCCCCCACCCTCCTCCTGGCACAGGGAGCACATCCCCTCCAGACATTTTATTTGGCTTTTAACTGAGCCGGTGGCTTTTGTGCTCCTGGATCCAACATGCACCGGCGCTTCCGTGCACCTCGTTACACCACAAACCTCCCGAATTCCTGAGGTGCCCAGACCTGATTTATGAGCCCTGTGAAGCCAAAGGGACGAGCATTCAGCCCTCACAGCACTCCATGGTTACACAAGTCAAGGAGCTGCATGTGGAGAGGGGGGAGCCCCTGCTTTTCCCGGGCAAGTCGGAGCAGAAATGACCTCACTGAAATCCAGAGCCAGGCTCCTGGAGACGTTGACCAAAGCAGCCAGAAAACTGGTCCAAGGTGGAGCACACACTCGTGTTCCCACCATGCAGTCAGGGTTTGGACAGGAATATTGCAACATGCCGAGGATTTGCTCATGGCTTGGGGTGCACAAGGCTCTGTGCCTGGGATTTTTATAGCTCGTTTTTGTGATAATTCTGTTGTCTGTTCTGGAGGCTACAAGGTTTGTAATCTGATGCTGTTACAGACAATACCTCACTTCCAGAAGTCTGGAGAGGTCTGTGGTGATGCTCAAAGCACCTGGGATGACTCAGAGACAGAGCACAGGGAATGGAAGGTGTCCCTGCCCATGCCATCTGCTGAAATTGGATGAGCTTTACGGTCCTTTCCAATCCAAACCTTTCCATGATTCTTGATATAAAGAGTTCCTACTGGTCTGCTCCAAAAGCATCCCAAAGGTGACTTGTGACCTGTGCACGTCCCTGCCACTGCTGGCAAGGTGCTCTAGCTCTGAAGGACACAGTGACAAGTGATGCCAACTCATGCAGAAAAACTGGGAGAGCAGGGTAGGATCTCCGAGCTGGACCATTCCGGTGCTTACTGTCCTGGCTGCAAAGGGAAACAGGGAATCACTTCCAAAAGGAGGTGTTGAAAAGAGCTCTTAATACAAAAAAAGCATTATTTTTCTTCCAAAATGTGTCATCCTGCCTGCTTCCGTTGTCTCAGGCACTGTCCCTCACTCAGTGCCTTGCCAGCTCCTTCCCATTCCGGCTCTTTTCTGGCCGACACTTCTCCACGGGCACACGTGGGTAATTGGACTGTGCTGGAAGCACTTTCAGCTCTCTGAATCCAGGAACAGGCACTCCAAGGCATGGGTTGAACAGGACTAAGGCAACAGGTACATTCTGTGCTCCAGCAAACCTTGACTGGAAGCTGATTTTTGGGGACAGGGTGTTGGCAGAGCTCTCCATGTGAACACGAGGTGTCCTGCATGGTGGCCCCAGAAGGACACATCAGTTAAATTAGGAAAGAGGCTCAGGCAAGAGGAATTGTCATTTCTTGCTTCCCTGGTCTCTCGTTCGATGTAGGGATCCAAATATGGATTTATCTTTTGTGTTGTGCAGCTTGGATGAAAACCAGGGGAATTTCCAGCACTTATTGCCCCACCTGATTGAGACAGAGCTTTAATCTGTTCTTGGCAGATGAGCAGGACTGTGCACAGATGGGGAAACTGAGGCACAATCCACATATTTCCAGGTCCTGCCTACCCACACCTCCATCTCCTGTGCCATCCATCCCCAGTCTGGGCAAGGGCAGTCCAAGACAGGCAGGAAATCTGCATATTCAGTAATTATGCAAGGGGAAAAAAGCTTATAGGTATCTGTAAAAAACCTCTCTGTCATATTTCAAGGTCTGGAATCAGCGGGTTGGAGACATTCTTTTGTTAAAGATCTCCAACACCCACTTTTCCATAAATCCTGTGCCACTGAGCTCTGATACCTAAAAAAGGTCTCCAGCAAAATCAGCACATGCTGAAGGGACACCTTTATTTCATGGTTTTTGTACAATAGGTGAAATATTAGCAACTCCTTTAAAACATGATAAAAAAACCCCCCTTCCAGGCAAAACTTCCATTGCCTCAATATTTAGGGAACAATTTTGTTGTTGGGTGCATTTTGCTGCAAGGAAGTTTGTCAACATCAATTCCCCTTTAATCCAATTTCCTCATACCTGTATCTTGTTTTCACTGGATTAATTTCTCTGCCTCGGAGGATCCCTTTATTAGTTCCATCCACGAGTCCTTGTCAGCTCCTTGCTTTGATTCAGATGTGCACCCTTGAAGCTGTTCCCGGCCTGTGTCACACCCCACCCTTAGTGGCTTCTTCCCAACCCAAACATATCAAGTGCCTTTCATCTTCCACACAAATCTTCAAACAAACAGTTTTATTGCTTTTTGCTGGGTTGCCTCCAGTTCTCAGAGCCATTTCCACCTGCTGCTCCAAGGGCTCTCCCTCCCTTGGTGGCAGCTCCCGTCCTGCTCTCCGTGCCCATCCCACACAGTTGCTCCCGGGTTTGGGGGGAAAAATGTCATGTTTTGGGTTTGAGGGTGGAAGACTGTCAGTCTTGCTGCCTGAGTGTCTTCCAGAGGGCTGTTTTCTCTCTCCCATCACCTCCAGCCATCAGGACAAAGCTCAGCAGCCACAAGGCCGGAGCTGAGGACGTGTCTGGACAGCGCTGGGTCACATGTAGCTCCCATGCCATGAGTCCTTCCTGGGCAAATCCCACCATGAGGATCCCTCTGCCACCCTGGGCACCATTGATGAATCAATGTTCATTCTCTGGGATGAGTTTGCCCAGAGAAACTGTGGCTGCCCCATCCCTGGAAGTGTTCAAGGCCAGATTGGACGGGGCTTGGAGCAACCTGGTCTAGTTGGAATTAGATGAGCTTAAGGTCACTTCCAACCCAAACCATTCCATGATTCTATGATTCTGTGAAGGCACAGCTGCCACAGTGGCACCAAGGAAAGGTCAGCTGTGGGGCAACCATGGGCCAAAGGACCACGTCTCCAGCAGCCAACAATAGTGACCTTCAGGGAAGGCTCATATGAAACATGAGGTCTGATCCCTGCCCAGGTTTTCCCTGGACTCAAGTGTTCCTTGAGGCTGCACCAGGGCTCCTGCAGTCAATAACAAACCCTTTTATCTGGGCTTTTTGAACTTTAGTGCTCACATAAAAGTGGTCTCAGCAACATCCCCTGACACCAAGCGCATGATTAACGAGGCTGGGAGCAAACAACACTTCCTGGCTTTGTCTGGGTGTCTGAGGCCTCTCCCGCTTCCCACCCACAGCCCAGGCCTGGAGGGGTGGCTGGACCAGCCCAGTGCTCAGCAGGAACATGGAGCAGCATTACTGGTATTTTTCTTTTTCATTTGCACTCCCTTTTTGTTTCATGAGCCTGAAAATACCCATTCCCAAGCCTTTGCTACCCTGCCCATCTCCTTTTCCAGATCCTGTGTGCTGGACTGGCCTGAGCCTGGAGAAGATCAACAGGCAAAGCTCTGCAGACATCTCCCTCCATTAGTAACTACTTTTACATGTTCCCTCTGTCCCAAACAATTTTTACAGATATAATTCCCTTTTTCAAACCACACAGGAGGCTCAGTGAGTCCTGAGCCTGCTGAAAACCCAAGGATGGAGATACTGAGGTTTTATATTTAATTTGCCAGAGTTTATTCTCTCCCCTGCTTTCCTTCTTTGGCCACAACTGTCACTTTTGGAATGATATCTTTTAAATCACTGATGGCACGGGCTATTCCACGCTGGCTTGTGGAGATGTTTTTCTTGGATTACTCTAATTCTTTCACTAAGAGCCTCTAATCCCATCTGGGAGAGCCTCTGAAGAGCCTCTGGGAGAGCCCTGTCACACACGGGGTTCTTGTAACTCCATTCTCATTTCCTCATCTCCACCTTCCTCCTTTTGTAAATAAATATTTAGTTAAATGCTACTGTGGTCTCAGGGTTTGGTTTTATGAGGTGGCTGGGCTTGAGCAGATTCTCTCTTCCGGTGTTACTTCCCAAAACAGCCACAACACTCGGGAGTAAATCAAGAATTGCCTTTTTCTCATGAATTCTCTCCTTGTTCAAGACATTGGTTGACTGTGGCACCTAAATTCAGTATGAAATTTGTGTGTAACATCTACTCAGCCCATTTGGGCATCACTTGCTTTATTCCTGTTTTTTTTCCATGGCCTTTCTAAGCTCCATTAGGATTCCCTGCCCATTTCTTCCCCTTGGGATGTGTGTGTGCCAACAGAGCATCCTGGGCACCACCCTCTCCTTCAGGAAGGAAAACCTCTGAGCTCTGCCATGTGCACACCCAAAATCAGCTCTTCTGCCAACCCACCTCTGTGAGCCTGAGCATCCCTGCCCTGGTCCTTTCCCACTGGAATATTCTCCTCTTCAGTGTGGAGGGACATGGGAAGGAGGGATTGCAGCAGAGGATCACTTTCCTCTTATGAAACTTGATACTTGCCTGCTGCTGGACATGAATTCTGCTACAGCAGCAGCTCCAGCATAAAACCATGGAGATACACCCTGGGAACTGGGACATCCATCCTCTGCTCCCACCTCATGCCCAAGGCCCACCCACTTTCCCACTCCCTTGGTTTTAACACAGGCAAAACCAGAAGAGTTGTCTAGAATTTCAAAAAGGAGGATGGTGATGGAGGCCTGGATGCTGCCATGCTCCTAAATCCATCTACAAGAGGAATACCTGGAAACCCAGGGCTCAGGTGCTGATGGATGGGGGATAAACAAGGCAACCTTATGTAAAATAAAAGTTTTAGAGGCAAAGACCAGCAACAAGAGAGTTGTAATTCAGCTTTCTTTGTTAAAAAAACAAAACAAAACAACCCAAAACATAGAACAACCCAAACATTCAACAGATTTGTTAAACCACAGACATAAAAGAATCAAGAAATACTACAAAAAATACATTGCAAGAGACATCTTGTTTTACAAGGCCATTGGATTCAGGAACTACTGGCTGACCAGTGGAATAGCTGTGTTGCCAGGAACACAAACATTGGGAATAAACAGCGCTTACTGGAGAAGTTTTAAGACTAAAAGATATTTACCCCTTAAAATAAATAGAATTGTCATCTACAGCAACATTTAAATTAGTAAAATAGTTTTTTTAAAGCAACCAAATATAACAAAATTGTCAATCAGATCTAGTTTTTTTTCTTGTGTGTGTTAAGCTCTTTTGTGTGTGTGTGTTTTAAAAAAAAACAACAACAAAAGTACAAAGAAAAATATCTCTGAAAAGTCAGATTCTTCACCAGGAGTGAATGTCACCCTTTGTTCTGTGGGTCGGAGCGAGGTCTGGGAGCCACTCTGAATCCTCCCTTTGGAAGGGTTTAGGTGGGACACAGATCTCTCCCTGCCCCCTGAACAAATAAGGATGTTTTTCCCTCCGTGTGATGTCAATCCCAGTGCAGGGGCTGCAGCCCCACGTCCTCCTGGATGTGGGAGATCCCCTGGGCTGAGCTGGACGTCACCCCATGGGAATAACTCAGGTGTAGCTATAAAGTCTCTTTTAGGCAGTTTAGAAATTAATTCAGTGTTTAAAAAAATACTTTTATTTCTCTCATTAACACTTCAACAGCTGGAGGAAGCAACACCCCTTCTCACGTGAGGAACAGGGAGGGGGCAAAGCAAAGAAATAATCCTCTGGATATCGGATCCTTAGGGGATGGCCGACCCTGAGCCACGTTTCCTACCACCACATCTCATATTATCTGCACCAAACTGGGAGCTCCTGGTGCCACCAAGCCCAGCAGCATCACACACCTGCCCCACCCAGCTCCCAGTTACAGTTCGGAGCGTGAAAACTGGGAAGAAACTCCTCAAGAACAGGCAAACCCAGCATAAGCCTGGAATTCCTCAAGAAGCCACCTGAAAAGGAAACCCCCTGAGCATCCCTCAATGCTGAGGTCTCCTGGGATGCCCTGGCACAGAGGAGGGAGCAGATTCCCATCACTGCAGGGATCTCCCTGGTCGGCAGCCAAGCCCTGGCTCCGGCTGTGCCGGCCCATCCCGCAGCCGGAGATGCTCCAGGGCCGGCACAAGGCGACCATTCAGCGTGTGGGCTGTGCCCGGGTCGTGGCACAGACCTCATGGCACAGCCCCGGCACCAGCCCCGGAGGAACCGGAGCCATCTGCCCACTGGGCTGCCCTTTCCCAAGCTCCAGGAGGGAGCTTCATTCCAGCCCTTTCCCAGTCACCCTCCCTCCCCTTGGATTCATTAGAAATGGAGTTGCACAATGGGTGGATGGAAAAGCTGCCATCCCACAGGAACAGCCCCAACCAGCCAGAGTGTTGTGTAATGACAATATTTGGCAGTTTCCTTATTAATTTTTTTTTTTAAATTTTTATTTTATATTAAAGCCCAAGGACACTGTCACCTCGGCTGAAGGCACAGGTACCTTCCCAGACTGAGTGGAAACTTTCCCTGGGATTCCCCACAGCCAGACTGGGACCCTGCCACTCTGAACATCTCTCCATGGCTGGGAAGTCACAGCTACAGGGAAAAGCTCTGTTCCAACACTGCTTCTCCTCGAGGGCTCCGCTCAGACTCACCACGGAGGAACCCTCGGAGGAGCCCAATGCCTGAGCCACCCCTGGGACAGGCCTTGGAGAACAACAAAGCCACTTCTCAGGAGTTTCAATCCAGTTGAAGGGTCTTTAAAGTTTGTTCAACTGTGCCAGAGTCCCTTTGAACTCCTGAGCCACAGAGGGAGCCACTGAAAACAAAAGTGTGTTTACCAGAACATGGTGTCTGAGGTGGAAAACACTGCAAATTCTGCAGGAAGTTGGAAAAAAAAAATCATAAAATAATCCACCCAGGATGACATAAGTCCCCCTGATTTTTGGCTGGGAGCATTTTGCAGGGCTGAGCAGGGCTGGGTCCCCTCCTGGTCGGAAGAAGGTTTCTCATTTAGAAAGAGGAACCCAACGGGCACGGAAGTGCCTGGCCATCAGCTCCTGCTCTGTTTAGCAATCCCTGCAGGATGCTATTCCATGAACACTCCAAACAACTGCCTGCCTGGGAGGCTAAATCCTTAAAAACAAGTTAAGAGCAGTAATTGAAGGGGGGGTTGGTACAAGGACCACGGGATCACTGCAGAGCAGCCACGGCCCCGTGGTCCGACTTGATGATCTTAAAGGTCCTTTCCAACCTGAATGATTCCCTGATTCCATGGACACAACGGCTCCAGCTGTACCTGCAGGACACTCATATGAAATAGGTTCATGTGGAACCTCATTCAGGTCCCTGTGGTTGCAGTGCCCTTTGTGGGAAGGGTTTATGTCCCTCAGTGCATCACAGCTGTGACCGATCACGGGCTCCAAAGAGAAGCCAACAGAGAAACAACACAAAAATCCCACATCCAGTGCTGGGAATGCCAAGGAATTTTCTGTGAAGTCTCTGTTGCTCCCCTCGCCCTCCCTGACACACATCTCATTCCATGTTTGAGGAAAATAAGCAGCAAGGAGGTCTTTCACAAGGAGTTCTCCCCTTTCCATACCAAAATCCAACTGACCAGGGCAAGTCGAGGGCAGCAGATGCTGCTGTTGCTGATCAAAGGGATGAGCTGTCACTCTGGACAGCAGATGCTGTTGGAAGCAGTTTCTCCCACTGGAGAATCTACTTTATTGTGTTTTCTTTAGCAAATGAAATTCAGTTTTACCCCCTCGCTCATTATCTCCCAAACCTCCGGGAAAAAAATAACCCAACCTCTTCCAGCCACGTCACCAAGCTCTGGTGGAGGGGAACTATGGGGGTCAATGAATCCAGAAAGAAATAAATCAGGCATTTTAAACTTTGAGATGTGACCCGTGGCTGACCAAATTCAACATTTTTTTGTCATTTTGTCCTGGTACCTGGTTCAGTTTTCCCTAAACCTCTATTGCCAAGGAGATGCTGGCAGGATCACTGTGAACATATGGATCAATGCCAGAGCCTGTAGGTTAGTACATGAGAAAGATCTTCAGCAGCAAGGGAAAAATAATGAAAATTCATAAAAAGCAAAGCAAGCAAGTTAAGGAATTCATTAAGATCAGGTAATTAATTAAAAAATATTTCTTAGTGTGATGTTTCCTCTTTAAAACCAGCATGAAACATTCACCAGGAGGAGATCGTGTAGTGATGGTCATCACTGCTCAAAGATGTGTCCAAACCAAGCACTCTCCCCCCCTTTGGGAGGTCTGGACCCATTTCTGAGCTCTTGGATGGGACCTTGGTGCCAACTGACATTGGGCTGAGGTGGCTGAGAGTTTGAATCCCTTTGCTTTGCATCCCAAGTAACTCTGCCGGGAAGTTCATCACCAGGAGCCCCTACACTGAACCCAGGCCCTGCAGAAGCTGCCCTGACACCACCACAGATAAAAACGTGCAGAGCAAGTGGGAGGTGACAGACTGAGGTCCTCTCTCCATGAAACAGGTCCAGCAGGAGCGGTGACTTCCCATCACCACCCTGCCAAAACATCTCAGCCTTCAGCCGGAAGAGATGCCAAAAAGTTCAGGTTTTACAATTTACCACCTTATTTATGCAAACACCCCTCCACAGGCACCAGATCCAAGGTGCTCCAGTTCATTGCACGTTAGGTCCCTGCACAGCCAGGCACTGGCCAAAGACTTTGGGTTCTGCCCTGGAGATCCACACAAACCAGCTGCAAGTCCCCACGATTCAGCTCAGCTCCAGGAGAGCTCAGCACCTCATGCAGGTGAAGCAGCACCTGAGCTGGTTTGGGGATCTCCACACTGTCCTGGGAGCTGGTTTGGGGATCTCCACACTGTCACCTGAGCTGGTTTGAGAATCTCCACACTGAGCTGCCATGGAATAAACAACTTGACAGCCAAGGTTCTCCACATGCTGATTGTCTCACCTATTCCTGCTGCACCCGAAGCAAGAGCTGGTTGGCAAAGCGATAGCACAGAGCTCATGTGGGCATGGCCACACACCTGGACAGGAGCTGCACCTGCCCTGACACCCCCCAGCGCTAAAGAGCTTCAAAGGACAAAGTGTGAGCGAGTACCATGGTGTCCTTAATGCCTCTCCACCCAAAATAACCCCACGCTACGAGGAGAATCCAGCAGAAAGCTCTCGGAGGATCCCGGCTTCCCGACGGCCGAGCTTATAAAAACACTGAGGAGAAAAAGGAGTTCAACGAGCCACTTGCACAAAGCACGAGCACAAAGATCTGCAACAGAGAGCAAAGCAGCTCAATGTGGGGAGAAGATGCTTCTGAATTTCAACTGATACCAGAGAGCAGAGGCACAATGAGCAAAGTGTTCAAGAACTGCAGCTTTGCTGAAAAGGCGACGCTTTTGACCAAATAAAGCAACGTGTTCCTAAGAGGACAGTTGGACTAATTGGGAACTAGAGGGATTTTGGGTGTGCTCAGGGGATGGGATTGCACCACCCACAACAGCCAAAGAGGATTTCACATGCAGATCAGGGTTTGTGCTCAAGGATCACTCCCAGAATGGGAGGGTGGTGGAGGGATCTCACCAAGCCAAACCTGATGCACAAAGGAGGCCCAGGCCCCAGGCCAGGCTCCTCGGAGCAAAACACACCATCTACCATCATTACTCCAAGGATGCCAAGGCCCTGGCACAGGCTGTCCAGGGAAACTGTGGCTACCTTATCCCTGGAAATGTCCAAGGCCAGGTTGGACAGGCTTGGAGCAACCTGATCTAGTGGAAGGTGTCCCTGCCCATGGCAGGAGGTGGAACAAGATGAGCTTTAAGGTCCCTCCCAACCCATGATCTACAGCAGCCCGAGGTGAAAGCCAGGCTCCAGCCACCTGCCCTTTCTACACCCCAGACCCGGTTGGTCCCATCTCTGTGGCACATTCCAGAAGAGACAGAGTGTGACAGAGGGCACAGCACCAGGAAACGCACGGACAGACCCCAGGGAACATGCCAAGGGCACCCCACCCCTTACTTCTCCTTGTAGATGGTTCAGAGGCAAACACAGATCACACCAAGGGCAATGAGCAGGGCCATGTGGAGAGAACAATATTGCTCATCCCATGCTGGATGAAAGCCTGTCCACAGAAAAGCATGGAATGAGCAAGCCAAGGACTTGGCCTTCTGCTCTTTGCAGTTCCCTGGGTTTATCTGCAGGAACTCTACCCTCGGGCCTGCACCTGCCCCAGTGCTCCTTCACAGGGCCATGGGATGGGCATTCTGGTGAAGAGCATCCTGGAGAACTGGCTCAACAGCAGGGGATTAGATCTGGGAGTTAAAATCCAGGTGCTGGCAGGGGAGTGCTCTGTCAGGAACACGGTGACAGGCAGACAAGGCCTCCCCATGTAATTTCTCTGACACTAATTCTGCTCTGCCTTGTCTCACCTCAGCCACTGCCAGTGGACAGAGCCCAGAGTGTCCAGCAGCATGTTTTGGTGTGAGTTTGTGTGTGTGTGAGCCAACACCAGCCCACCTTTGTTTCCCAACCACCCCCCTTGGCCAGGAAAGGCAGGTGGGGCAGGCTCAGGCCCACCCTGGATCTGTGACAGCCCCAGGCACGTCTGAACACCCAAGCCAGGTTCCTGAGCAGATCCATCCTCATCTGGGGCATCCCAGCCCCAAACCAGATGAGCCCACCCAGAACCAAGTACAGCCCTCGGTGTCCCACACACACAGATGCTGATGGGACAGGCAGGACCCCTCTGGAATTGCCCTTTGGAATTTCTCCTCCTGGCTCATGTCCATACCAAGAACTCATCGCAGGGTCACCCATGTGCCAGGGGAAGGTGGGGCTGGAGGAGACAAGGCAGAGCTGGGATGTGGTGTCAGCAGGAAGCGGCTCCCACGGGGCTTCAGGGCCTGGGATCTGGGTGCGAGGGAGCAGATTCTTGTGTTGTCCTAAAATAAAATTGTGCGTTTCCTCGAGCTGAGTGTCTCTGCTTTTCCTGCCTAGGATTCCTGAGGAACCACTTCCATCAGCTTCTGGCACAGGACTGTCGCGGAGACTGGGGAGGAAAGCAAAGGAAAGGTCAGGGATCACACGCAGGGGCCCAACATAAATCTTGGTCTGGGCTCATGAGAGAAGGTCTGACCCATTTGCCTTCCAATTTAAGGCTTGAAATAACCCACAGGATACTTCCCACTCATTCCTAGAATTCCAACATGTAACAGAGGGAGCTCTGGTCTTGCAGCAAGGATGCTCCAGGAGAGGCTCTGGCACTCTGGACACCAGTTTCTACTTGCACAGTGATATGGTAACTCATTTTGGATGGCGTAAGAGTGAGCAGCCAAAACTGAGTCAGGAACAGGCATGGAAAATCCAAGTTGAAGCTTTTACTTCCAAGTTTGTAATCCATGTGAGCCCATGGCCTCTTGGAAGGACAAACCCACCTAAATCCACCTGTCCTGCCCACAGGGCAGAGGCCACTGCCTGGCCCAGGGCAGGTGGGAGTAAAGGGACCATTTCAGGTGCAGGTTTGCCCAGGAAAAGGTGTTAAACTGAAGGAACTTTACTTTTCCACCCATTAGTGTTGGTGGCCGATATCCAAACACTCCTCTGCTCCCTGCTGCTCCTGTGTTTGGAGATCACAACATACTCCTGCCTGGTAAAACTAACTCTAAATACAACCAGGTCAGACTCAAATCAGTTGGAGGTGCTCAAATTATCTGCAGTATATCAATAAATACGGGTTTAAAGGTCATATGTTTCTAACTGGATGTTTGCAGGATTATCATTCTCTGTTCCCAGAATATTTTCTATATTTTCTTTACAAGCCTCTGGTGGAGAAAAACAATGAATATGGTAATTTGCCACCCAGGCACTGCAAAAATGGTTTTTCCAGGAACTGAGCCTAATACTCAGGATAAAAGGTGAGTGTGGGAGAGGGAAACAGAAACAGGGAAAAAAAGAATAAGGAGTGCTGAGCACTGCTCTGAAAGCCTTTTTCTTTCTCATAAAACACCCAGCTAAGGCTGGGCACTTCTCCTTGTCTGCTTTTCTAGGTCAGCCCGTTGTAGGAGAGCCGGGAGGCAGCTGGTGGAGTTCAGTTACTTGGACAACATGGATTGACTTTCTGGATTCAGTTGTTCAGGCAGAGGTTCCATGTGCCAAGCACAGTCTCTCCATCCCTAAACACACCGTGGGGCAGTGTCAGCTGTTGGAAAACCTTAGAGCAGATACCTTAAAAATAAACCTCCTAAGAGAACACGTCCAGGGGACTTTCCCCTCCCTCTGCTCTGCTGCCACAGTGTGATGCCAAGGAAAGCTGTGCCTGGATCTGAAATGTTAGCACTGGCTAAACCATGGATTGGGATTGATTGTGAATTTTCAGCAGTCAAACAGAGGCCAGCCGTGCTCAATTCCTCCTTTTCCCTTCCTACACCATTGTAAAGGCATTCTCTGCTGAGCAAAGGCTTGGCCCTGGGCTTTTCCAGGAGGAGGAGCAACGTGCTCAGGGAATTACACTCTGCTGAGTAATAACGACCTGTTTTCCAAGATAAAAAAACCCTAGCACATGGTATTTGTCCCAAACTTTGCAATTACTGAAAGTCAGGGTGCACTTTGGGTGCTTGATAGACATGGTAATCATCAGGTTAAAATTGTCATCATTAAAAAATGGATCAGAGCCAAGACTTTGGAACCTCCTCCACAGGAAGGAGAGCCAGTGCTCCCAGCTGTAGGAGGTAACTGGGAAACTGTTCTTTTTGGAGCAAGAACTGCATCCTTGCTCCTCACTGTGGGTACTTACAGATGCCTTGGAGAACCCACTTGGGCTTGTTTTGCCACCAGACCCCAAAGAAGTAAAAAGGGATCCCACTGAAGATGATGGCGAAGCCGATGGCACATTCCTTCGGCGTCTTCCAGAAGGAAACAGCGATGAGGAACAGGCAGGCCAGGATGAAGAAAATGGGCAGGCAGATGTTCACCTGAGCAGAGACCAAGCAACAGGTCAGGAGATGTGTCAGGGGAACAGGGCACACTTTCCAGGGAAGTTTATCCAGCTGTACAGCCCAGGGAGGGACAGAGTTCACATTCCACCAAGGCCAGGAGCCTTTCTCAGCACCTCTCTGGATCCCAGTTCCATATTTCCATGATGCCTTATACAAAGCACCTGTACCAACAGCCCCAGCTTCAGCAGCAGCCATAGCACAGGCCATGGCATCCTCAGGGCTGTTCCTCAGGGGATTCTGAGCAGGGCACCCACTAAGAAACCCAAAACCACTAAGGAAACACCCCACAAAGAGTCACTTTGGGAAGGCACCAGCACAGGCCTGGGAGTTTGTCTCTCTCTGGGTGTTGTTGCCTGGCAGAGACACAATTGTGCTGAGGGATGAGTGGGAAACATGCCCTGAAGGCCATCAGACACACCGGGGTGACACGATCTTGGCCTCCTCCCAGATAGGCCACAGAGCTGCCAAGCTGGCCAAGGACACAGGGAACAAAGCTCCCAGTGCAGGGGCTGCTTTAGCAGAGAACTATTTTAGGGGAAGTCCCTGATGGTACAGAGTGTTTCACTGAGAGCCACAGCCTGGGATCTGTCCTGGGGAGTGTGTTAGTCACGGAGAGCTTCCCGCTGTGTTATCCCACCACAACATCCCGTGTCCCTGACACCCTGAGCTCCTTCACTTTGTTGTCCCCACAGCCATGGCAGCTCTTTGTCCTTCTGCACCAACTCCCATTCAGCAGCAGGAACACCCCATTAGCTGAAACCCCACATCTTCCTGCAATCCCAGTCCCTCTCCCAGGCAGGAGGAGCAGCTGAGCCTTCCCAGGTGCTGAGAAGGGACTCAGGGAGGACCCACCTCCCATTTCCCACCATTCTCACCTTGATGGGCCTCTCCAGCTCTGGCTTCTTGTAACGCAGCCACATCATCCCAATGATGGCCAGAGCCACACACAGCCAGTTGAAGAAGCTGAAGAAGTTGATGACTGAGAAGATGTCATTGGAGAAGGCGTAGAGCAGGGTCATGACACACTGAACCCAGGGAAAAAGCCATTAGCAAAGGAAGGAGGCAAACCCATGTATGATACAACACTAAACAGGGATTTTAGAACTGCCTACCAGGAGAAGGATCATGTTCATTAGTTTTTACTTTTTTAAGCCATTTTCAATTGGTGCCTGGAATGATTGCATAGAATCATGGAATGCTTTGGGTTGGAAGGACCTTAAAGCCCATCTCATTCCACTCCCCTGCCATGGGCAAAGACACCTTCCACTAGATCAGGTTGTTCCAAGCCCCGTCCAGCCTGGCCTTGGACACTTCCAGGGATGAGGAGAATTCAAACCAGAAGTGGTCTATGAGGATATGATGAGAAGGGTCATTCTCCTGTAGGTGGATGCAGGAATGGCTGTGACTGGAGGTGGGAGCCCCCCTCCAACCCCTCTGATGGGATCCCACCCCCACCCCTTCCTGCCCAGCCCCGGGTGTTACCGTGAACACGAGGGATGGCAAAGGAGTGAGGAGCCTGGGGTGGATCATGGACAGGATTGAAGGCAAGTGTCCCTCTCGGGATCCCACGAAGAACAGCCTGGAGGGGGACACAGAGCAGTTACACCCCTGCAGCCCCAGCTGGGCCTTGTCTGCAGCACAAAACAGGGACAGCCCGAGCTCAGCCCAGACCGAGGCAGCAGGACTGAAATACCAATCCCTGACTTAGAAGGGAGGCTGGAGATGGACAAAGAATGCAGGAAAGATGTATTTATCTCCATTCCAGAGACAGCCATTAAGTGACTTTCCTAAGACAACCCAGGAGATGTGTCAGAGCCAGAACCATCTCAGTCCCTGTCCTGACCCGTCCTTTCTCTCCTTCCTGGAGGGATTCTCGGCCCTGAAGTTTCACAACTTTCTGCTTTCCATTAAAGCCACTTTCTCATCATTACTGAGCCTGTGTCTGTTTCTGTTTTGTTGACTTCAACAGCACTTTGCCTGAGGAACAGAAGATTAAGACCACTGGAAGGTTTCCTTTAATCTGGGTATGGTTTTAAAGGCTGACTTTTTTTCCCCCTGCATTCCCCACATGGTCTCCAGACCCTTCAGACTTTGTGTCTGCCCACAGCCACTCTCTGGGGGACAACTCCAAAAGAAGAGGAACTAAGCACAGCTTGTAAACAAAACCCACAGGATTGAGCAACAAACCTACCGGGAAGAAGTGAAGAGAGATCCATTGACCGACCCAAAGCACGACAGGCCAACAAAGACAGGGATGATCCAGGACATGACACCAAGGTGGTAGTTCCCAAAATCCTAAATGGGGGACAACAAGAGACATTTCATACCCAGAATGTGCAAAAGAACTCACAGCTGCCTGCAAAGGCTTAATCTTTGCAGAAATCTGAGCAAAGGACACGGCTTAGTGCTGAAGCTGTTACAGAGTTTTCCATATTGCCATTTGCTGCTCCTCTTTCCTGCAAAAGCATATTGTGGAACTGCTAAACTAAAGCAGCAGCCAGCCCTTCCCTCGGGGTCAGGACACACCATTTATCAGAACAGCTATCGGGAAGTTCAAGATCAAACGGAAACTGAGGAGCCTCAAACACGGAGCTGCTGCCAAGTGCTGAGTCAGGACCTGGGACACAGCCCTGGGGACACGGAGTGTCCTGGAGCTGCAGTTTTTTGTCACAGACTGACCCTGTGCTTCTCCACTGTGGTTTTACTCCAATTTATATTGATTTCCAGCCTTTGCTGTGATATTGATTTGCAGCCTTGCAAAGGCTCGTGGCTGCAGCAATGGACACAACTACAGCAACATCCCTGGAAGTGTCCAAGGCCAGGTTGGATGGGGCTTGGAGCAACCTGGTTTAGTGGAAGGTGTCCCTGCCCATGGCAGGGAGTTGGAACATGATGATCTTTCAGGCCCCTTCCAGCTCAAACCTTGTATTATTCAATGCAACACAGGCTGCACCTCCAAAACCTCGGCACCACATCACTGTAGGCTGGAGCAGGGGCTTGGTGCCAACCCAAAGGATGGAGCACTGTCACCTGAGTGGCCCAAACCAGCTCATCCTGGGCTGGGAGATTCCCTTTGAAGCCTTGAACAATCCTGGTCACGCTGTTTGCAAGGTCTGCTCCTTCCTGAAGCAACCAGGATTTCTGACCGCCGTGGCATTTTAATTAATAGAAGTATTATTTATCTCTCTCAATTAAAACAAGGAAGATACAGAGAGAAAACAATCTAGTTCAGTAATGACTGAATGACCTTTCCCCATGAATATTATGCTCTGGTAACTGATGAGAAGTCACAAGGCCAGCAGCCACCTTCCCTATTTGGGAACTAAGTGCAGCACTAACTGCTGCCCACCCTCGCTGTCTGCCATTAATCCCACTTGGTATCACACTGTTCTCCCCAGCTCCCATCACAGCTGCTCTTTATCTCCTGTTAAACATCAGGTTTTTTGTAAGCAGCCATAACCAGCCTGGAATAAAGCAGGAGATGTGAGCAGAGATTGCAAGTGTGATTTAACCTGCCCTGGAAAACAGTCCTGTCAGAGCAGCCCCATCTTACCACGGCCACGGCCTCGGACGTCAGCATCTCATTTGTGGACAGCGTGGTGAAATAGGCCAGGTTGGTCAGCACATAGACCAGAGTGACCACGGGCAGGGAGATGATGATGGCCAGGGGCAGGTTCCTAGGAAAAAACATACACTATCATGGAGAAGTTCAGAGGAGGGAGCTGCTGATCCCAGGGATGCCACCCTCCTGTGCTCGCTCAAGGTTTGCTTGAGCCCTTCTGCTCTTTGGCTCCTGAGCATGTCAGGTTTCCCAGCCACACTCTGCTCCCAGGGCAGAGGAGATGCCCATATGGGAATGAGCTGCCCAGGGAAGTGGTGGAATCCCTGGAGGTGTTCAAGAAACATGTGGGTGTGGCACTTGAGTTCATGGTTTAGTGGTGCTGCGTTGACAGTTGGACTTGGTGATCTTAAAGGTCTTTTCCAACCTTAACAACTCCACGATTCTCTGAACAGCCTGATGGAGAGTGAAGGATTATGGCAAGAGGGACTTTTTCCATGGAAAGGCTCTGGCTGCCTGAGCAGGAATCCAAGATCACTGCAATGGCAATTAATTAAAAACACCCAGTGGCACTGAGTGGATTCTCTCCTGGGCAAAAGAGATTCACTTGTGCTGCTGGGTTTCCTGTGGGAGATGGGAAGCTCAGGGACCCAGCGGGCAGTTTTTAGCCTCTAACTCTGTGCAGATGGATGGGCTGAGGAAACTCAAGGAAAATGAGTCCAGACACAGCCTGAGTGAGTCTGTAAACTGGCTGTGTTGGTACAAATTTGCCTTTCCAAACAGTTTAACTTCATTTGCAAATGGAAACTGAAAAAGAAAACCCTGCTTGGTGCCACGTCTAATTGGTCCAGCGGAGCTCAAAGCCACAGGAGGAGAGTCAAATCCCATGACTGCATTCAGCAGACATGCAAAGAATTGCAAAATACAACCCCCCTTTTTCTAACTGTTTCTGAAGAAAAGGGAGTATCAAATCCTTCCCAGCACGAACGAATCACCACCAGGGTCAGCCAGGAACGGGCTCTTTGCACAACTGACCCCGAGACTCAGATCCCAGTGGCTTGCAGGGACCATCCCATGAGCAAAAGGGATTTATCAGCATTGTCCTGCTTTGCTGTGGCCCATCCTGAGCTCGCCAGGCCCCCGAGTAACCCCAAAAGGCACGAGCAGCACAGGAAGCAGCTGTTGCTCAACAGGATGGGAAGAGCACGGGACAAACGCATGGACAGCAGCACAAACCCTCTACTGGGAGTTTATACAAGGCACTAATAAAGCCCTGAGTGCTTCTCCCTTGCCCATAACTCACAGAGGTGTCACGCCAAGGAAGCAGGGCTTTCCAGCAGCACTGATATTAGTGGGACAGGAGAGCAGCGTAAACAACAGCCCTTCTCCTGCAGAGATTATAATTCTGCTTCTCTGATTCCAGGGAGGAAAAAGGCCATTAATTTATCTTGTTTTCTATTTCCCCAGATAAAGACCTTGGCTTCTAGGCTGATCAGCAACCCCTGTTACACACACGAGGAAGAGGCTTCCCCAAAATATAGGTCCTTCTCCCAGGGATGTCATCCCAGGACACACACCCACCTGTAGGGATTTATCATCTCTTCTGTCACAAAATTCAAGTAATTCCTGGAATTTAAAAAGAACAGGGGTTCATTCTGGTTAGTCCATGGAACATATAAAGCCCTGCAGTTTAACTCATCTGCACGGGGATTTCAGGAGGGGCACAGAGATGGCTGTGGGAACACTTGGGATGGCTGGTGCCTAATTCCAAGACCTACAGTACTAAACCTGCAAGGAGCAAGCCAGGGAGAGCTGAGAGCCTCTTCCAGTGCCTAAAGTGGCTCCAAGAGAACTGGAGAGGGACTTTGGACAAGGGCCTGGAGTGACAGGACAAGGTGGAATTGCTTCCCAGTGCCAGAGGGCAGGGTTAGATGGGATATTGGGAAGAAATCATTCCTTATGAGGTGATGAGGCCCTGGCACAGGTTGCCCAGAGAAGCTGTGGCTGCCCCATCCCTGGAAGTGTCCAAGGTCAGGCTGGATGGGGCTTGGAGCAAGCTGGGATAGTGGAACATATCCCTGCCCATGGCAGGGGGATGGAACAAGATGATCTTTAAGGTCCCTTCCAACCCAAACCATTCCATGATTCCATGATAAGGAGGCTGCAACTGGCCTGTTTTCACAGCAGACTGAGCAGCTCCTCGTGATTGCAGGTGCTCAAAGGAGCCCTCCAGGAGCTTCAGTTTGGTATTGAAATTGGTGTTGGGATTCAGTTCCCAAAGAAAAGAGAGAGAGGGAGCATCTTACCATCCTCCATAGGCAAAGAGGCCACTGTACAAAGCCAACACGATGTTCCCAACATCGACCTTCGTGCCCTCGAAGGAGTGCTCAGGAGTCAGGTTTGACACATCACCTGCAGGACACAGGAAAGGATCAAGGATGGGCTGTGAACCCCAAGGGCCTCTGGGGGGGTTGAAACAGAGAAACCTGGAGGGAAAAGCTGCTCTTAGGATTAATTATCTTAATTATCATTCTGATGCATTTCAGGTTATGCTGAGAGCACGTGCCCATCTTTCTTTTGGGCTGATTCCTCCAGTCTTACAGTGCTTAATTCATCTGGATTGATAACGAGCCCCAAAATTATGTGCCTCAAGCAACTGGCCATGAGTGACTCCTCCAAACTTTCTCACACTGCAACGTGCCATCTCCGAGGTGATCTCCCAGATACCTTCTCCCTGGGAAGAAAACATTCTGGGGACCTTCCTGCTGGAAGATGCTTTGCAAACACAGATGTTGTCACGATGTCCTCTCAACTGAAGGCTGCTGGTGTTCGATAAAGCCCCAGGATTTCCTCCACTTCCACCAGCCACCCAATAAAGCAGAAACCCAGGATTTCCTCTGGTCCTACCAGCCACCTGACAAAGCAGAGGGCTGTGGCAATCCCTTTGATTGGGGGAAGTCACCTTCTTTAGGGCCCCACGATGAAAAGTTCCTGTTATGGATCTGCCTTTGAAAGGAACAGCCAGAAATAGACCCCTCGATTGTCCCTCTGGTCCCAACTGCCCCAGAGCAGCCCAGGGTTTATTTATTTTGCTTTCAAATGCTCTGCAGTTGTTTTGTTCCCTGCCTTTTGATGTGGGGCCTGGGTGTAGGGCCGGGATGGTAAAGCCACATTCCCAGACCTGCCACTCCCCTCGGTGCGGAGGGAAGAGGGAGCGTGGTGGGATCCAGGGGCACCTTTGCATCCAGGAGCCCTGTGGAAGCCCATGTGATTCCTCTTAGGGCATAGATCTTTACTAATCACCCCAGCAACTGCATCACATGGCCATCAGCAGGGCCTGGAGCTTAACCCTTCATGTCTCAGTACATGGAAACCCAGGATGTGCTGCTGGGAAAAGCAGAGGGATGCTGAAACATGAGGCATTTTCCCTCGGATCTTCCCCTCCCCTACGCCACCAAAAGCCACTGCTGCAGGGGCTGGGTGACAAACCTGGATGCACAGACCCTGTAACACCTCCCACTCATCTTTCCACTGCTGGGAAAGAGGGATTTTTCCTGACAGCACCATCGGTCTGTGGTGCATTTGTCACTCGTGGGACTGCTCCAAACCTGTGCCAGAGACATGGAGCTGCCCCGTGTGCATGGGAGAGCTCCCTCTTCTCTTTCCTTCTCTATCCCTGACCCTCCAGCTCCATTCCATCCTTTGCACCCCGGGCATTGCTCCCTTCACCTCCTTTCTCCCTCCTGCTAAATCCTAACCAGGCAAAAAGATATTCCCTATCATGGTGTGCAAAATGCTCTCTGCTCGCCCAGCTGCCCAGGAAACCAGCATCCCTCTGCCTTTTCCCTGGCAGAAGCTATGCCATTTGCAAGGGGATGCTGTGGGTATGAGCTGTAGGAGAGCCAGGACCACAGGAGCAGCTCATCCACCATCTGGGAATCCATCAGGAGTGGGAAACCCAGTGCAGGGATGTCCAGCAGGTGTGCAAGGCTCTGCTTGTCCAGATCCCAGTTCCAATTCCTGTTCTTCACTGCAGTCACTTTGTCCCTCACTCCCAGCATCTCCTTGCAGCAGGAAGGTCTGTTCTGCATCTACCTTGGGATGTGCTGGATGTATTTAATGCCCCTGGAGCCAGTGAACCTCCTGAGCAAAAGGCACCAATCCTTTTTAAAAACACATCCAAGTGTAACAGGAAAACCAGAAAATGCAGAGACTGATCTAATGCTGAGTTTAACCTTAATTCCTGGCTTACAGGTTCAGCCATAGAACCCTAATTTAGCACAAATGAACAAAGGGCTGAGCAGGAGGGGGGTGTAGGGTATCACATTCTGCTGAATCCCTTGGGCTCAGCGTTCCTGAGTTCATTTGCTGCCCTTCCTGAATAATTACCAGTCTAGTTCTTTCTAGGTCTTTTGTTATGGGAATAAGGTACACTTTTTGTTAACAGTGCCTGTAATTAGCTACTGGAACAGCACATGGATGGACTAGGAGAGCAGGAGGCTCTCCTGACATTTCAAACACCCCTCAGGATGTCTCTTCTCAAAGGTTTTCAGGCTCTGCATGTTCCCACCAGGATCAATGGATCATCACCTTCACCACAAGAGGAGGATGCTCCAATCCATGAGCAGCAGGGCACAAGAAACATCACAAGGATCACTCCATTTCTTGTCCACAGCTGGCCACCAGCTTCCCCTGAAATCCCCTTTGTGTCTGTCACAGGCAAAACCCCCTGAGGTTCCTTTTCCTGAGGCAGCTGCAGGTTTCACTTGGTGTCTACTCAGCCCTCACTCAAACCATGGTCCTGGTGCTGCCAAGACAGTGCTGAGCTGCTGCCCTGGCCCAGCTGGATGGGAGGGGAGCAGAGGGGAGCATTGGTGGTCCCTGCCCAAAACCACATTCCTGGACTGAGAATGTGCCACCCACTTGGCAACCACAGGCATCCTCAGCCTCTGGGTAAGGGAGGGTCCAAACCCACACTCTGTTCATTGAAGTGTCCAAGGCCAGGTTGGACAGGGCTTGGAGCAACCTGGGATAGTGGAAGGTGTCCTTGCCCATGGCAGGGGTGGAATGAGATGAGCTTTAAGGTCCCTCCCCACCTAAACCCATCTGGGACTCCAGCAAAGGCAGCAGGACTGTCTGGAGCAGTGCTAAAGCAGAAAAATGAGATCAAAGGCTGTAATTTCATTGCCTGAGGGTGGGTGAGGGTGATGGAGGGAGGGAAGGATGGGTGGGACATAACTAATTACTCACACACCTCTCCTTGCACCCAACCCATCCCTTTGAGGCATCAGAATGTCCCTGCCGGCAAAGGAGGAGCAAGTCAGCACAGGGGCAGCTGGGAGAGGGGACAAGGAAGGAAGCAAGGAAGGAAGGAAGGAAGGAAGGAAGGGGCTTTTTGATCCTCCTCAGCGCTTGAGGAGCCAACACTTTGCTGCCCTCTCCCCATCTCACCCATGGAGAGTTGTAGCTCCCCAAAAACTCACAGTGAGTTACTAAATTTCACATTTCTGTGCCCTCACGGTAAAATGGATTCAGCAACATGTCAGGACATGACTGAACAACAGAGGAGTCGAGATCTATCTCGAGTTGTGCCAGAGCAGCTTTAGGTTGGGTATTAGGAAAAAATTCTTCACCAAAAGGGTTGTCCAGCCCTGGCACAGCTGCCCAGGGCAGTGGTGGGGTCTCCATCCCTGGAGGGATTTAAAAGCTGTATGAATGTGGCACTTGGGGACAGGGGTTAGTGGTGGGGGATGGTTGGACTCGATGGCCTTAGAGGTCTTTTCCAGTATAAATGATTCTGTGATTCTTCCTGCTCCAAGGGGCCAGGCTTTTATCCTCCAGGGTCCACAGGATGCTCTTTTGTGTTTTTCATGCTTTATCACCTCCTGGTTGCATGAGAGGAGCCTGGGCTGCTTAACAAACAGCAGTCCATGGAGTCCAACCCCTGCAATGAGCAGCGACATCTTCAATCAGATCAGGGGGCTCAAAGCCCCATCCAACCTGACCTTGAGTGTTTTCAGGGATGGGATATCCACCACCTGTCTGGGCAAGCTGTGCCAGTGTCTCACCACCCTCATCAAAAGAAAATTCTTCCTTTTATACAATCTAAACCTGTTCTCTTGCAGTTTAAAACCTATTGCAACAGGCACTGCCAAAGAATCACAGAATCATTTAGGTTGGAAAAAACCTCCAAGATCATTGAGTCCAACCTTAGATCAAACACCACCCTGTCAACTAGACAAGGGTGTACCGGAGGGAGGAGGGACAAGTGACTGTGCTGGACCATCCACAAATGGCCTACAAAACCTCCCAGACACTCAGCATCCTTCAAGCCTCGACGTGCAATTCCAGCCTCCAGGCTTCTGGAGGCTTCAACTGCAGACTTCGGATCAAATCAAGGGTTACAAATCTGCAGGTGAGGCTGCCAAGCACGGCCTCAGCTCCCCCAGGGGAGCCCAAGGTCTGTAAGAGAGCACATCCCTGGCACCCCCAGCTCCCCGTACCCCCCCATCCCACGCTGCCGTCGCCGCTCTCCAGGCAATTCCCTGCCCGTGCCCGGCACCCTGGAGAGCTGGAACCTGGTTTGAACTGGCTGTTCAATCGCACTCTGCTCTACAATTAACCAAATTAAGGTAACAAGCTCTGACATAAACCCCATTTGCTGATCTTGCCAGCTGCCAAGACTGTGGTAATTGCGCCGGGTCAGCCGGGGCCTTGCTGCGCGAGGGACTGTTTTGGGTCGAGGAGCTGCATGTTCAGACCCTTTCTTTAAAAACGTTCATTTGCTCCCCAGTCATGCCCATTCCGGTTTTAATGGCACAGCAATCTACTCTTGCAGAAAGCATTTCATGATAATTAAGGATTTTTAACTTGCCCAAACAGCGAGGAGAGGGAACGCGGCCATGGAGAGAGCTCAGCACGAGGAGGGGGGAGAAACCCAGCCAGGGAGAAACGTGGTGTATGTACCAAAAACCCCAGAGGAGATCATCCACTCAGCTGTTCAGCCATTTCCTGAGAAAAGCAGTGAGAATTCAGTGGACTGAGTCAGAAAAACAAGAGAGAGGCAGGGGCCAGGGTTAGGAGCATCCTTGAAGGCTCGGAGCTCCCGGGAAACACAGCTCGGTACCCACAGGAGCTGTTTGCTCCTCTCTGCAGCCAGCTCAGCATCAGGCAGTTCTGAACAGCAACCTTTAAACTGGGGTCCTGGAGCAGAGGTGTTTATGGTCAGGAAGACATGGCCATGACCTTGCAGAGCAGGGAGGGCATCCGAGGAGAAGCCAGAGCATCCCACTCCTCACCAACAGCTGTGGACAGGCCACGACCCTTCCCCCCTTTTCAGCTATTTCCTTCTGTTTTGTGCAAAGTGCCTCTGCTCCCAGGCCAGGCCTTTCCCACCTCCTCTGCATCCTGCT